CCAGCTCGAAATAACACCCTGACAGCCAAGGTCCATCGCCAAAAGAGAAGAGTTTGACCTCGTTCGAACCACGACGGGTTAACATTTCGACCAGCTTGAAATAACATCCTGACGGCCAAGGGCCATCCCCAAAAAAGAAGAGTTCGACCTCGTTCTAACCACGACGGGTTAACATTTCAACCAGCTCGAAATAACACCCCGACGGCCAAGGGCCATCGCAAAAAACTAAGAGTTTGACCTCATTCGAACTACGACAGGTTATCATTTCGACTAGCTAGAAGTAACACCCTGACGGCCAAGAGTCATCGCCAAAAGAGAAGAGTTCAACCTCGTTCGAACCACGACGGGTTAATATTTTGACTAGCTCGAAATAACACCCCAACGGCTAAGGGCCATCGCCAAAAAAGAAGAGTTCGACCTCGGTTGGACCACGACTGTTTAACATTTCGATCAGCTCGAAATAACACCCCGAAAGGCCATCGCCACAAAGAAGAATTCGACCTCACTCGAATCAACTTCGGCCTCGTCCGAATTCACAGTAAGCGACCTCGTCCGAACTCACAGTGGGCGACCTCGTCCGAATTCATAGTGGGCGACCTCGTCCGAACTCACATTGGGCGACCTCGTCCGAATTCACAGTGGGTGACCTTGTCCAAACTCACATCATTCGAATTCATAGTGGGCGACCTCGTCCGAACTCGCAGTGGGTGACCTCGTCCGAACTCACAGTGGGAGACCTCGTCCAACTTCATAGTAGGCGACCTCGCCCGAACTCACAGTGAGCGACCTCGTCCGAATTCACATTAAGCGACCTCGTCCGAATTCATATTCGACGACCTCGCCCGAATTCACATTTGACCTCATCGCCCGTCCAGACCCGAGGACGCAAATGACCTCCTCCGATGCTACCATCTTTGCGAAAGCCGCCATTTTAGACTCGACGGCCTTCTCCAACTCTACCGTCTTCTCGATCGACTCATCACTCGAATCATTGGCCCTAATCAAACTCTGCTCAAGTTCAGCCCGCGGGGATACCACTTTGACCTAAAAATCGGCACCCTCAGCCGCAATCTACACTAGTCGACCTCCCCATCCGGATTTCTCGAACTACAATTAATGAAGTCCACTCACCGAGCTCGACCAAAAGACGACCTCGATAAGCGGAGGGACTAACTGTATGGGTCAAAATTAGATCAAAGAAATTCGGTACGCGGAGACAACAGGACGAGGTCGGACAGTCATCAACAAGGCCGAGGTCGGACAATCATCAATAAAGCCGAGGTCGGGCAGACCGAGGTCGGACAATCATCAATAAGGGCGAGGTCGGGCAGTGATGAAACAGCTAGTTTGCTTTGGAATCCTTAACTAAATTGTACTTTTTTTTAGGATTTTCTATGGATACCCCCTTATAAATAGGAGGGGAGGACTTCCCAAAAGGGGGGCTCTCTCTCTCCCCCTCTCTAGAAAACATGTAAACACTCCTCTATAAAGAGATTAGAGGATCTGTGATCCCAGACCTGGAGGAGATCCAAAAAGGGTCCTAAGGTTCTTATATTTGTGTGTCATTCATCTTTATCAAATGAAAGAGAATCCACCTCACTCAAGATTGGGTGACTCTTTTCCTTTATTTACATTTTATTGTCATTTAATGTTACTTAATACATCTCTCTTTATGTTATTAAATCTGGCCGTAATCACTGCCATCACTTATACTCAGCTATGTTTTTCTATTCATATTATTCATTTCGAATCTAGAATTAATTATTCTTAACTAGGATTTACCCTTATCATGATCATTAATTGAGTTAATCAAAAAACTTTCGATATCTTTTGGTCAAACAATTGTAGTACCTGGGTGGGAAACCAAAAAGGACATCATTGTTTGCCAACATTCAAATATCGGATTGCAGTAAATTAAAGAAACAGCTACTTCGTCCTACCACCACAAATGCACATTGACTATTACAAGTTGAGCCTTGACAGCCTGGTTTAAATATTTCTTCTGACGACTCAGTTGCGAGCTCAGTACTCATACAACCATGCCTCCATGCATGCTTTACGATCAAGATTCAAGTCTGTCACACAAAAAGTAGTTAAACTTGCCCAAGGAATTATTTTAAAATTCCATTTAAAACGATCAAAGTTGAACAAACAATAAATTAAGTATTACCACCACTATATCCAACAGCCACCAAGATCTAATCGTATATATATATATATATATATATGCCGTTTTGAAGGACCCGTATATTTAATTGAATTTGATTTTTATACCACAAAAAGATAACACCAGTAACCGTCTATAATAACTCAAACCAATAAGACTAGTAACTTGTTACAACAGGTTGAAATACTTTAACAATATAAAAATTCTTTATATTCTAAATATATCAAAGTTAAATTTTATTTAATGCTGTACAAGAATCAAACTCTAAAGGGTCAATAAGTTTGCAAAAATATTATAATGAAAGCCATCACAATGTTCTGCAGATGACGAAAAGAAATAATCACGTGGAGACAAATTAAAAACATAACAACTAGGTAGGTTTCTTATCAAACGTCTGCACATTCTGTTAAGATTGTTGAAACATTAATACTACTAGTTGTTTTTGCTACGCATCTACGTAAAGTAGGCAGCACTTAGATAAAAAAAGATAAAAGATGCCATTTAATTCCTTCTAACCGCCGAGAATAATATAATTATGAACATTGAAACCTTGGAACTCTTCTTCTTCACTAATCTCCTCTCAGAAAATAGAAGAGATAGAATGGTTTTCCAAAAAGAGTACCTAGATTTGTTGTTGGTCCCAAGTGGGCTCTGCATCATGTTCATTTACCATCTCTACTTGCTCTATAGATACCTCAACATTCCTCATACCACAATCATGGGCTTTGAAAACAATGATAAGAGAGCTTGGATTGAAAGAATTATGCAGGTATTATATTCTCGTATATGTATAGAGTGGTGGATTTTGTATAAGTGGTGTTGATCTGTTGATACAATTTGACTTATTAAATGGTTTCTCATTTGGAACTTTGGTAATTCAAGGCTTTACTTCATGTTCCAATTGTATTTTACTTTGTATTACTTTCAAGCAGAGTCGACAAATTGTGTATATACATATTGATTTTTAGAAAGCTTTTCAACTTATATAAGTACTCACTCCATTCCACTTTAATTGATTTTTTGATTTTTTTTTGTGTCCACAATATTTGATTTTTTCAAAAATCAAGAAGGAATTAATCTCTTTTTTTCCAAAGTTGCTTAGGAATAAAGAGCCGAGGAGTATTTGTTATATTTCTAGTGAACAAATTAAGGTTAATATGGTCAATTTTATTGTTAATTAATGCAAAAAGGTGAATTCCTTAATGTGTTAAAACAACAAAAAAAAAATCAATTAAAGTGGACAGGAGGGAGTATATAGAAAGAAAATGGGATCTTTACATAAATAGTCTGTCATATTTTTTTAGCCATATACATAATTTATACATTGATTATGCATAATTATACACTTATAATACATAAATTATGCATGAATTATACCTTTACCGGCTATTTTTAATTTAAGCAGTTTGGTGGGCGGTTATTTGGGTTAATTCTTGAAAGAAAATTTTGTGACAACCCTTGCTAAATTTTGTAAGCAGTGTTGCTAATTAGTACAATTCGACTTATAAATGCTTTTGAATCTAGGATGTGGTAGATTCAAGGCTTTATATTCTGTTCTAAATTGCATTTTATAACTTTGTACTATTTTCTAATAGTATCCATAAATTTTGTATATATATATATATCCATAAATTTTATATATATATACCCACATGTTGGTTTTAGAAAAATATTACAGCATTTATTTTTTGCGAAGGGGTGTCAGATATCACTCTTATAATTTATAAGGGTGTCATTATGTACATGTGCCGTGCTCTTCGATATGCCTAAATTTTCCATATTTTTTCACATTGTAAAAAAGGGAACTTTAGGAATTTTCTAATTTCTGCTGAATCTTGCAGGATAGAGATAGCAACACTATAAATACAGCTCTAAATGTAATAGGATCCAATAACAATGGAGCAACATTCTTGGCATCAGTTTCATTAACATTGGCCTCTCTCATTGGAGCTTGGATGGCTAATAATAGTATTTTCAGCAGTGAATTAATATATGGTGACACAAGGCCAGAAACTATGTGCATTAAATTTATAAGCCTATTAATTTTCTTTTTGGTTGCTTTTGCATGCTTTGTGCAATCATCCAGATGCTTCATTCATGCAAATTACTTAATAACCATACCAGATACTGATATACCAATTAGTTATGTTGAATTGGCTGTGATAAGAGGAGGTGAGTTTTGGTCACTTGGGCTTAGAGCACTTTATTTTGCAACCACTTTGCTACTATGGTTTTTTGGTCCAATTCCCATGTTTGCAACCTCAGTTGGTATGGTTTTCCTCCTCCATTCTCTTGACAAAAACACAAAGCAATTGCACAATCATCGATCTTATGCAGAAGGAAAAGGTACTAGCATTGCAACTCGTGACATTGATCATCTTTTTTAGGCCAAATTTCACCCTGGATTGTACAAGATCTTGCTGAGGGAGTTCAACGAGTTATATTCAATGGTCAAAAAGAAATTGTACAAAAATAGAGAACGGCAAAAGCTAATATTGGCTTTTCCTTGTAATTGTAAATAAGTTTACTTACAATAAAATTTCAAGTCTCCACATCAAGGACTGTAATAATTAAATGAAATTATTATAGGTCGATGTTTGTTATTTACGAGTATTGCTTGTAAGATATCTAATTAACAAGTCCATGGGATGTGGATAATAACTTAAGTAAGAGACTTATATCGACAAGTTTGCTTTACAATACGTTAAGTCAGAGGTTTGCTTCAATTGAACAAATAGCAAACTCTGATATAGTTCCTTTTAAGCAACAAAAAATTTCACTTTAATATGCAAAAAACCATTCAACTTCTTCCAGTCTCGCAATTTTACGAACAAAGAACAACAAACGTAGGAGAAAAAAAAATGGTATTCCAGAAAGAGCACCTTGATCTATATTTGGTGCCTAGTGGATTGCTCATCATGTTTGCTTATCATCTCTTTCTTCTCCAGAGATGCGTTAAAAATCCTCATACAACAGTCATTGGCTTTGAGAACAATGATAAAATAGCTTGGGTTCAAAAAATCATGCAGGTAAGTACTAAATCAGCTTCTTCTATTGGCCCATCAAACATTTCTTGAAAATTTTTCTAAGTTCTAGGTGTTTTTTGGTATGACAAAAATCGTTTTTTTTTTGAAGAAAAAAAACATTTTTTTTTGAGAAAATCCTTTTTTGGTGTTGATCAACAGAAAATATTTTCCTTGAATAATATCTTTCTAAGGGAAAAATGACTTTCCTCAGTTATGAGCGGAATTTGTTTTTCTTATAGTTATCTTGACCCCTAGCTTTATATATATAGCTTGTTCCAGCTAACACTTAGATTATCATATTACTAAAAGATTTCATCAAAACACTATGCAATTTGCTAGAATTTCGCTACCTTAGGACCGTTATAATTACAACCAGATCCATTCAACACGTGCAATTTCTTTTGCCGATACTTCCCAATATTATCTTTCAAAAGTATTTTTTTCACTCACCAATCAGATACCAAAAAACACTTTCTAGGAAAATATTTTTGTGAAAATGACTTTCGTCACATCAAATACACAATAATCCATTGATATATATATATATATATATTTTTCCTCTTGGCAGACTGAAAATCAGGATGTTACAACCGCATTAGATGTTCTAGCATCAAACAACTCAGGAGCAACATTCTTGGCAACTCTCTGTTTAACTCTGAGCTCTCTCATTGGAACATGGATGGCAAATAGTTCAACTTTATTTAGGAGTGAATTAATATATGGTGATACAAGGCCAGTCACCATCTTCATTAAGTACATAAGCCTTATTATATTTTTCTTGGTGGCATTTTCTTGCTTTGTTCAATCATCAAGATGTTTTATCCATGCAAATTACCTAATTAGTATACCAAATAGTGAAGTTCCTGCGAGCTATGTGGAATTGGCTGTGATAAGAGGAGGTGATTTTTGGTCTATTGGGCTTAGAGCTCTATATTTTGCCATCACTTTATTGCTATGGTTTTTTGGTCCAATTCCAATGTTTGTTACTTCAATTGGGATGGTTTTTCTTCTTTATTATCTTGACACCAACAAGAGTCCATTGCTGCAACATTATCATTCTTCCACCAACCACCCGCCGCTCAAAAGCTTAGAGGAAATGCTATAATTTCTTGATAGTTATACAAAATTTGATCATCAGTTAAAATTTAAATTTTGGAAGTTTGAGATGTAATATCAGCAAGATTGGAAAAATATGATTTCTTTCTTTTTTTTTTTAATAAGGATTTTGCCCTATCTATGCAAAATTATAAACCTAATTACCACTCTTAAAGATGTTCTCATTTAATTACCTAACATAAGCACATTTACCAACTGTATACAAAGAAAGGGATTAGGCTCCAATTTTTTCCATTTTAGGTTCCTCTCTCTCTATCTCTCTCATACATGTCTCATTTGATTATTATCCATTAATTAAAGCAATAAGAATGAAGTCGAAAAATAATACTCCGACAAATACTTTTTATTTATCAAATATTTTGAGGCAAATTAATTTTTAAAAATTATCAATATTTGTAATTGAATAAGTATGTTTAACCAATTAATCAAAAGAAGAGATACAATTATATAATTATTGTCATGCCACTTATGATCACTCGACAATTTTGATGGCAAAATTGCAGCTTAACTTTAACTAATTTCAACTTAAAAAGAATAAATTATATGAATAACTATTGGCATAAACTTAACTCCATATATAGTTAGTAATACAAACAAATAAAAATACAATATGATTCAAAAATAAATACTCCTTTCTTTTCAATTTACGTAAAGTATTTTTCTTATTAGTTTATTCCAAAAGAATGACACATTTAACTTTAAATTTTTTATTTTACCCATTTTACCCGTAATGAGAAGTTTTTACACTCATACAACTATTACGACCCCACAAAGCTTTTAGGACCACAAGTTTCAAAGGTTTTCTTTTCGTTTTTAAACTTCATGCCAAGTCAAACAACAACAACAACTCAGTGAGATCCCACAAGTGAGGTATATGGAGGGCAGTGTGTATGCAGACCTTACCCTTACTCCGGATGAGTAGAGAGGCTATTTCCGATAGACCCTCGGCACAAGAAGAAGGAAAGAGACAGTGTATCAGTAACAGCTAAATTCAAACTATCTCATCAAAATTGAAATTGAGTGAAATAATACTAAATAGAGTAATAACTAATAAAAATACATTTAGTAATATCTTAATTTAAATTATAAAAATATATTATATTATTATCTCAACATAATAATTTCTCATATCAACATCAACTTCTACCAACCTAAAATTTCACAATGATAAATTAATATATACACACATGATGATTTATTGACAATCAATATATTCTAACTTTTGGGAGTTACCAACATATAAAATAGTTGGATCGNAAAATTTCACAATGATAAATTAATATATACACACATGATGATTTATTGACAATCAATATATTCTAACTTTTGAAATTTACCAACATATAAAACAGTTGGATCGTAATTTGCTAAACAATTTTAATGTCATCTAAATTTTAACCACACAATTAAAGCCACTTTTTTAACAATTTAAATGGTACTTTTGGGATATAGTTAACATTAGTATATTATAATTAAATAAATGTTAAACTACTTTAAATATACTGTACTTCTTAAAATGAATGTTACCTTATGATTTTTGTAATTCACTTTATTTTGTGTAAATAGTAATCCCAAATAGTGCAATTATATTCCTGTATATGTTTATCCTATCTAAATCTATTTTATTCTAATTGACACATATATACCGATCTCATCGGTTGCTCAATCAATTGGCTCATACACTTTGAGAGACATAAATATCAACAACGGGCTAAAAAGTTATAGTCCATATCTGAGCCATTAGAGAAGAATCCATCCTCCCTTCTTATCTAATTTAGCAGGGCAACTGCTAGCACTAATAGAAAAATAAAATATAAAAAGTGTATGTATTGCTTCTAAACAATTGAGATATAAAATAGATTATAAAATGTTGGATAATTAATTTTACCGTAAGGCAACATAATTGAGATTTAGTTCAGCCGATGTCTGAGTTGCTTCATAGTTTAAAACATTATCCCCATAAAAATGATGTAATCAGTTCCTCTATTCTTGTGTAAAATTATGATTGATTACTCTCTTCCAACATTATTGGAGTTGCTTCAATATTGATCGAATCGTACTGCATTTATGTGACAATTCTCGTTTTGAGAGTCATTTTAAAAGTATTCGACTCCAAACTATATACATCACACATCTTGATTCTCAAAACTAAAATGCTAATTGAGCAAGAGATATAGATTTATTTTTAAATTAATTCAAAATATCAATTTACTCACATTATCTTTATACCTCCTCTTTCTATATTATTCCCTCTACTATGAAATTTTATATAATTATTTTATTTATATGGAAGTTTGACATTAAATTTCCATTAAAATTAATTATATAAGAATTTAAATTATATTTAAATATTTTTAATTTATTTCTTGGAATTATGTCAAATATCTATATTTTTTAGTTTTATCTATTATAACGGTTTTAAATACGTGTATCTTATTCATATAGTATGACTTATCTCATTATTATTTTAGAAATGTTCTCTTCTCAAAGATCAAATAAATCTTATCATTCTATATATATTTGCTATTGAGATTATTACTTATTTACATATTTTTCTTCTTTTTTGATTCCTTGTTCATGTTATTGTATTACCCATAACTTAGAGTTATTCATATCATTGCCCACAACTCCCGTTAGTAGATGAATTTAGTTTTTCTTTTTTCTTGTAAAAAAAATATATTCACTATTTTTTATTCTACTGCTGAAACTAATATTTAAATTTATCAATAATATTTTTGAGTATCATTTATTTATTATCTTTATTTTATATTTTAGCTGAATGGAGTAGTGGTACTCGTAGTATGTGTTGATAATACCTCCATATTTATCTTTATAATGAGTTAAGGTAAGGGTGTTATTTTTATCTTTCAGCTCAATATTTTCTTATGGTCAAAAAATTATTAGTTAAGATAGAGTAGTTGGTTATATCGTTATAAGACTATTATTCTTTCTTACCTTTCAGATTCAAAATAATCTTATTTACTAACTTTTCATTTAAATTAAAAATTATCTTTTATTTTAAATTAAATTAAATATTATTATAAATATTATCCTAAATTGTCTTTCAGTTCAATTTTTTTGTGGTCAAAAATTTAATTCATATTTTCACTCTTTTGTTATCACTACTCTTTTGTTATCACTACTAATATAATATAAATCTTAATTTCATATTTTCTATATTTAAATTTATTGAACTAACGTCTTAGGGCACAAGGAGAAGCGAATGTTATTGATCAACTAAGGTAGTTACGAAAGTTAAGTTTTGATCCAACAGCTCGGTAATTATGATTATGAGTTCAAACCAAGATTTTTTTAGTTTTATTTCTAGTAACAAACACTTTTTTATTTTTTCTGTTGTTTTTGTCGTGAAAATTTTCAGAAAACTCTTTCTTATTATTTAGAACAATTTGCTCATTGGGCCTCTCATTTGAATTGGAATATTTATGTATTGATTAGCTTTTCTAATTAATTAAACAATTAATTCAAATTTAACTTTCTTTCCATTTAGATTCAAAAGAATCTTGTTTACTATCTTTGTATTTAAATTAAAGAAATATCCTATTTCTCAATTTAAATTAAATACTATAATAAATATTGTCTTAAATTGCCAAGTGGCTTTATATTAGTTTGTCACTTGGCTAAATGTGAAGGCAAACTTTCTTGCTTTATTATATATGTATATATA